GTTGCATAGCTTGTTCATGCTTTGCATCCACTGGTGGTGCTGCAAGTATGTACAGAACGTAGGTAAGTTGGTTAAAGTAGAGGCAAAGTGAGTCTTGGTTAAACAGACTAGAGACATTAATCCACATCTATAATGTTTCATGGCTTGAAATGTTACCAATGACAGCCTTTGTCAGTTTAATTCATCTCTGGAGTCTGTATAATCAGCGTGCATCATTTTGCTTTGCTGTTTTAAGTGTTATTAATATGTAAGCCCTTAACCAATCAGACAGAAGTCATAGATTGTCAGTTAACTTTGGAGGTGGTCACGTATTGCTCATCACTATTAATAGCTCAACAGGAATTTGGTAGCTGTTCCTACAAAATAGATATTTAGGAGTTCTTACTTAAAATCAGTGAGTCCTTGTACCTTGCTTTCTTCTAACAAATTCACTACTGCGCTTTCTGTTAGACTGTGCACTGCTAGGATTCAGGCCATTTTTATTATGTTTACATGTACATAAATACCTTTGCAATGCTGAAATTAATTGGGCCTGCAGAGTAACAATTACAGGGCTTTTTTTTTCTCACTATAAACATGTTTAATCAGAGCAGCAATAAAGAAGGAGATTCAGTGAAGTAAATACAAATATCGAGGATAACCATTTATTATTTTGCCTTCTGCTTTATGATTTTTCAAAAAGACTTTATGGGGTTGCCAACACTGTACTATGATAATTTAAGGAAAATGAAATTAAAAACATTTTTGAGGCAAGTGTCACCTCCTTGTTGGCATATTTTTATACTCATTTATACAACAGTTTTATTTTTCTGAATGTAAAAATAATTTAAGAGCCAGAATAAAGCAGAGCTGTCTTTGGGGTTGTCCAAAATAGTCTTTAACTTCATTGCTCATTCTTCTCAGCAGCCTCTGGGCTAAAAAGGCACCTAAAATGAATTTACCTTAACTTTCAGGGTTTTTTAGGAAGCTGTGGTTCTTGTTTTACTGTGTCTGGAGGAGCTGGACATCAAAATATATACCAATGGCTGAGAATATTGAGACAAAGCATAACTCACATGTACTTCCTGCATCACAGACTTCTATACACTACAGAACAGCCAGAGCTGTTCTCATTCAGAAATGTGGCCACTTTGTAGAGAAGTTGTGTTAAGCAATAAGAATTGTGGGTCCTAGGTTGTCCTCAGTCTCATGTCCTTCTTCTTAGAACGTCCTAATCGTCTGATTAGCAGAGTCACCTTTAAATTTAAAACATTGTACTGCAAATAAAGGCAGGATATTTGAGTCCATAACACATGATTTTAATTTTTTTTTTTTTTGGGCTACGCTGAGGCTGCAGGATGTTCTGCTGAGTTACCAAATGTTTGAGTGCATGAGAATTTTCAGTCTAGCATAATTTTTCCACTTACAGAAATACATGGTTGTCACTTCTATAATTATGGTTAAGCAGTAGTTAATGCTTGATTTGCCCAACACATTGTGCCTGACTGCAATTCACATGTATAAAAGTCTTTGCATGTAGCTTTATTCTTCTTTAGTCTATAATGGAGAACTTTGAATTGTTCATTTGTAAAAGCTCAGTACGTTAATAAATGATGGTATTAACTATCTTTTCAACATAAACCACAGATAATAGAGTCCTTTCATGTGTGCATTTGAGTGAATATTTTAAATTCTCTTTTTTTCTTTACTAGGAAAATGTTCTCAGTAGGATGTAATTTTTTTTTTTTTTTCTTTTTACCAAAAACTACTAGCTAGAAGCTAATTTGAAGCATCAGGAGTCAGATGATAACAAAATAGGGTAAAAGGCAACAAATATAATTGCTTGTCTGCTGTTTGTAGATTATCTAAAGAGCAGCCATGAAGTTGACACTCTGAGTAGCAGCTGTGAATTTGACAATTACCTTGTCCATTTCTGAAAACTCTAAACATCAGCAACTGCTGCCACACTCAAGAAAATGGTATTGTCTGGTTTATCTGTTTTTCCTTTATAAAGATTATCACCATCTCTGCTGTGTTTGGAAATTGTTCTAAATGAAAACTTCAGTTTTTCTAAAATTTGTATCTTACTTTGAAAGCTATGTTTCCCCACCCTCTTTACTGGTATTTCCCCCTCCCCTGCCCTTCTCCATATTGGCTCACGTTTAACATTAAGTCATGACTGCAGAATACAGCTGAACATGTTTCAAAGAGTGATGTGAGTAACCCTCGCTTAGATTTTAATATCTGAATCACACCAGCCATGCCTATAAAATAAATTAAGTAGGAGCAAAATCAGAAGGACAGAGTAAATGTGGAGAGACCTTTTCTTTCCAAGGTGTCAACTGGGTTATAACTGGCTCTAATTAGCACAGTGTATTCAGCTATAAAAATTCTTTACCTTGAAGCCCGGTGATACTCAAAGATGTGAAATTTCTTCTTCTTACCTTTGAAAACATCAAAGAAAGTGTTTCCAGTCTATCTTTTACAACTGAAAGTTCAGTGATGTGTGCAGGAAAGGTGTAAGTACATCAACAGGTGTAATGAGTATTGATCTCTGGCCGAAAGAACTCTTCAAGAGTTAATTGGTCAAACCAGATTTCATTGTTTATAATTTAAAATATATATCAGCATCAAATGCTGGTTATACTTTCAGCAATATGTAAGAAAAATGGTGGACTTAAAACAGCTGTGATCAGAATAAACTTGAAGATTTCTTAATTTACATATTCAGCTGTGTTATGATCTCACGTCTTTTAATTTCACTTTAGAAAACTGGGTTGTGGAAGGTTGGTTGTGATCACATGCAGGTTATAGTGCTTTTTAAAAAATTCTGTTATGTGTTCATGATTTTTTTTCATCTCTTTGAAGGTTCTAATTGATATATCCATGCAGCCGAACTATATGAAATTCTGAAATACCCATGCCAGTTCCAGTTGGTTGCTTCTCATTATGAGCAAAATGATAGTTGAAGGTGCAGTTGAAACTGCTTCATAATTTTTATCAACACATGTGTTCATTTCTTACAACTTTTTCCAAGTTGTACCATGCAACTTTAACAAGAAACACTTTTGAAAATAAGGTTGGCAATACTACAGAGAAAATAGCCTGATTTAAAGAAAATCATAGAATCGTTCTAGTTCCATGTCCTTGTTAAAACACTTTTTTAAACATGATGGTAGTTCAGTGTGCTAAATGAAGTGATTTTATCATAACACAAGAGAGCTCATTACAGTTGAACTTTTATAAGTAATTAATTTCCATGGATTGACAACAGAATAGGGATGCAGGTCATGGTTCCAGCAGAAGACAGATGCAAAAGCTAGTCTGTTCTTTGATATGCTCTGTTACCTTGGGGAAAGCCAACGCACCTTTTTAGTTCCAGGTTGTTTTTTCTTCCCATAATTCTCTTCTTTGTATAGTCTGGCTTCTCTGTAACAGCAAACAGGTGCAATCATCTGCCTGTATATCTAGTAAAAGTGCAGAGTAAAATGCAATGAAACTTGTCACCGAAGAAGCACAAGGGTTTTGAGTGGAAGGTCTCAGCTCAGAAGGATTGAGGTTGTTTCACTTATGGTGTAAAAAAAATGACACTGTGTCACTACCTGTTACCTACAACTCCACTTTTTTTCCCCATGTGTTTTATACTATGAGATTAGCTGGAGTCCCATGATTTAGATCTGGGGCTTCCCAGGTCATTCCCAGAGTCTTAGAAAGGTGGGAGTAATGCAAAATTTGGGATAAAATAGGAGCATGTATAGTGTGCAGCACTGAGTTAGGCAGGTAACTAGTAACTTCCTAATGTTGGGCACATTTGCCCAAAGCTGCATCTACTCGTGCAACCTTTTTCATATCTTCAATCTAGATGCTGAATTGATTCATCCAAGAAGCTAAAAAGACTAAAAATCTTTTGTCCTCAAGAGGTGGTACTTCATATATGCACCCAGAATAAGAACAACATACCAAATGCCTTTGACTAATTTAAGTTTTTGTCTAGAGATGGGAAGAAGTTTCTCCACATAGCTGTTGATACTAAAGTTGTGATCTCTGCCTTCAACTATGTTGTGTCACTATAAGATGATTGGGAGATTGCTCAACTTCGTTTTAAAAGTGTTGGGTATGGAAGCCTATTCTTATCAAATAACAAGTATTATTCTTTTAACCTTACTCTTTTCTCCAGCAAATTTGTTAGGGTTATTGTCCATGTACTTAGCTGTGCTGCTCCTAGTGACCGGCCTGAATATGCTGCTTCCCATAGGCACAACTAGAGACAGGGAATAATTTCTTGCATTTCCTCAGGTATAGCATGCAACTGGTGAATCACAAGTAAAAAGTATACATTGATTAAGTAGTGATGATAGCTGTTGAACTAGAAGAGGTTTGCATCAAAGCTTTGAGGCTTGTGATGTTTGGTGCATCTTCAACAAGGATGCACAACATTACTTATGAAGAACATTGAGGTTTCAAGCTAAAGCACTAAAAAGCAAGTGTGCAACAAGGTCTCTGGGTTTTTGCTGTGTATATATGCAAAATGACTGCTACAGTAATGTGATCACTGAATCAATATGCACAACGGATGACAAATGGAGTAAGGATTTCAAGAACTTCTCTTTTTACAGTTAGGCTAGCATCTAGGAAACTGGATGATATTCCTTTTTCTGGCCGATTTAGATGGGATGTCAAAACTACTCAAAAAAAGAAAAGTATGTGCATGTTAGCACTGACTGAAAGATTCCACAAGCAAGATGAAGTTTGGTATCACATAGCTTTTAAGTGACAGATACTGCAGTACTGTTCATCTAGTATGTGTAAAAAAAAAAAAAATAAATTGCTAGATTTCTCGTTAATGGCAGATTTTGCACTTAAAATATGGGATGGATTTCAGGTGAAGGATACAGTAAGGAATATGGTTGAGTATCTTTTGGAGTAGATTAGATCCACAGAGTTAAAATGGCATTGTAGTGCTAATTCTGATTGGTTTTAATGTTAGTCTGTATCTTTTATTTTCCATTTCTGTTTTACAGTGTTATGTGGGAACCGATGGGAGACGGTAAAAAGGTTATTTCACTGGCTGATAATAACATATTATTGTGGGACTTGCAAGAAAGTTCAGCCAAAGCTGTGGTAAGGAACTTTTTGAATGAATCATGATATAGTTGTATATAATACAAACAATGTTCACTAGCCTAGAATTTTTGTGTCTTTTAATTACTTCAGAAGTAACTTGTTGCCTTTAAAGTGGGTGGGGACAGCAAATAGACTAGTCTGTCCGTTGTCTCAAGAATCGTTAAGAGTAATATTTTGTATGTGTTGCTAGTGGTTAATATTTTCCATTTTCTAGAGTTTCCCCTTACTTTTGTGCTGGTTTTAAAGAGAATCATCTAAAATAGAGTAAGGCTTCTGTGATAAATATGTACGAGGCAAACATTTGTTACGGGTCATGCCAAAGATTATTGAATTCAGGTAATAGTATATTGACTCATGCTGGTTATTACCATGCAGCCCTCTATTTAATTTAAGACCCATTTTGTATGTATAAGCATAACATCATCAGTTTCTCTGTTTACCATGCACTGCTCTAAGTTCTCTCTATTAATTTAATTTTGTACTATACTGTCTATCCGTGTTATTTCACTCATTGTTAAAACCTACTTCTTCAGGTATACATAAAAGAAAAAGTTATTGGCATATATTTCTGTCTAATTATGTCAGTTCTTATAGATAAGCAAAAAAAGTCTGCTTATTTATGTATAATGATATAGATTGTATATAGGCAACTTTGAATATTTATGTATAGGGTCATTTAGGTCAGTGTCTGTCCTTAAAAATGGAAGCTGATTATACCAAGGACATGATTATTCAGTTGATCTGTTGTCACTTCTTGAATTAACTCCTCAATTTGACTTGTTCAGGTAAGGTTTTTTTCTTGGATGCTGCAGAACCAGGTTTTTCAACTGGCAGTTGTTTAAAGAGTCAAGACATGTCCATAAATTCTTCCCTGTTGGGCCATCTGTGCAAATAGAAGTCTTGAGTTGTTATTTTGCTATATCTTGCTTTGTGTCAGTGTAATGTAATATAATTTAATCCTCTATGTTCATAAGCCTTGTAGGGTTCCTTCACTAAAGGAGGAATCTTCAACTCTTTTTACACCTGTAGCTTCAATTGCTGTTACGTTACCTTCAAAGGCTTCTTCAAAGTAGTGTTATGAAATTTATGTTGAGAATTTATGAAGGCTAACCTCTAGGAGCTTGCTGGTGGCATTGTATCCACTGGATTTGGAATATTTCTGCATGATGTTTGCTAAACAATGTAATTTCAGCATGACTTTGAAAATCAGTATTTCTGTCCTCAAAGCAATATGCAGCTTGCTGATCTCTTCAATATTTCAATTAGTATTCCTTACCTAGATTATTTTATATTCTGTTACTTTTAAAATATGCTTGTACTGCATCAAATATTGGTGGCAAAATAAGGACTCCAGAAGGCAAAGTAAACGATAAAGGAACTAAGGGGGCTTAACCCATGTCATTTGTTATATGCTTATATCTGATAAAAGGAAACAAGAAAACTCAAAAATGAAATTCTGGATCAAGAAAACATCATCTAATGCAACTACGACTATGACAGTGGATACATCAGCCCATGACTGATATCTTCAGATAGGAGCATTTTGAAATGTTTGTTAAAAACCTTAGTTTGCATAAGTTAGGAGTCTAATTTAGTTTTTACAGTCAGGCTCTCAGGAGGCCTGATATAGAATTTGACTGAATCCTGATATTTCTGTCGAAAATAATCTTGTGACTTATATGAGTGCACTGTAATTCAGAATTACTTGTGATTAAAAATGTACATGAAAATAACTGTTTACAATTATCAGTCTTCTACTGCAGCAATTTTGACTTACTCTTAGATGATACTTGCTCCATCACTGGGTCAGTGACCGCTTTTAAAGTGAAGTTTAATAGTGGAAGTCTGCAGAAACTTGACTCTTGGAAAACATATCTCTTCAGGCATCTAAATCTTAGGCCTGTTGAATCTCTTCTAAGATGGCTTGTACTGTTGCATTCCTGAGTTTCTGTCTGCAACAAATTTGCCTCAAACACGTCTGTTTGTTCCTGAGTTAAGCAGAGTCCGTCTGGGCAAGACTCTGAGGAAAGCACGAGTGTCTCTTTAAAATGCCTACCATAGAATTTCTAATAAATAAAATTGGGACAACCTAAAGTCCAGTATCACAGGCTTTTTCAGGCCTAGAATCAATGACTGCTTTTCCGAAGTCTTTGAAGATAACCCTCTTCTGAAGAGATTAACCCCCTTTTAGGATCTGTAAAAGGCTGAAAAACTGTAACTGTTATTCTGTTGCAGTGTTATCCTAAAAAGCACATTATTTGTATTTTTGGTAAGAGCGTAAACCCACTTTTTTTTTTTTTTTTTTTTTTTCTGGGATATAGAGCTGAAAAGCTCTTTATCGATATTGAAAACAGGTGTAGAACAGCCTACAGCAAAAAAGATCAGCTCCTGCCAGAACTGCAAAGGCGCTTTATATTGGGGAAAAAGAAAAAAAAAAAAAAAATTCTGAAGACACCACAGAAGCCATTGACAATTCCTTTGGAGATTATGGCTGTTTAAACAAGGTGTTAATTGGTGCTATGTGGAAAATTTGTGCCAGGAAGATGAATATACATCCATATATGCAGATACACAAGGAGATAATTTAAATTATAAGAAACATTGTGCTTATTGCTCATTAGGCTAAAAGGTTGTCCTTTTCTGGCATGTCTTAGCCACCTGATTCTGTGATTCTGTGTTCTTTAGTTCTAACAGAACATGATAAAGCAGTAAATAACTAGTAAAGTTGTATATTCTGTAGAGAGTGTTGAGGGGAAAAAACTCTTTACAAAATAGTCTCGTTGCTATAGTTTAATAAGTGAAATAACCTTGTACCTGTATGTGTGTATACATTATTTTAACTGGATAAATCAATAGCTTAGGCTGAAGATAATAAAAATTTTAGTAAGTTTGAATTTTTTCCCTTTTTGTCAAAAATGTCATTCAACTCGACCATTGTAATATCATCATCATTGACTAAAAGTAGGATCTGGTCCAATGTGTACATACCAGGTAACAGGAGTAAGGAGCTCTGTTTATTACACTGGTACAGCACTGGTCTTCCTATTTTAAGAACATATTTCAGTTGCTGAGTGCATTTTAATTGCACAGGCAATAATTTCTGCTTGCCTACACCGATCAAAACTTGAGTTTTTTATTGGCTGCACCTCCTCTATCTGTCTGGGTGTTAGTAGTTGCCTTGTTCATTTGGAATTAGCCTGAAGTATTTTTAGGTTCTTGGTATTTTCAGAGCTTCTTTGAAAAGAAATTACTGGTGTGCTCATTCTCTGAATTATCTGATCAGTTTGTCTTAGGAAGCATTTACTAACCATAACTTACTTTAAAGTTCTGAGGTTTGTTTGTTTTCTTTTCAGTGTTTTTAGTTAGCGTGTTTCTTCATGGCGGTATTTAATACAGGAATATTTGTCTGTATTTGCATTAAGACAAGCTTATCCTGTTCATCTGATCACTCCCTTTATTGTTGTTTTGAGGACATCACCTTCTGGGGTGAAACTAATCTTATGCTCACTGCATCATTACCTTTTGGAATTAAATTAGCTTTTCTTTACCATTTATAATCATTAGCTGAACCTAAGAGAAGTCCAACCACTCCACAACATCTGGGTGGATTCTGCTGAAAAGGTGACAGTTACTATTTCTGTGTACAGACTTCAGGTCAGACATCACCAGATCACTAGAACTCCTCCTTGGGTAAACGCAGTATGTTTGGAATGGTGGATGAGTGGAACAGAATGAGAGGGAGATGTTACTATAGAGATATTTCTCTCTGTGCTTTATATTTTCACAAAGTGGAGGAGTAGAAATGTGGTTTTGATAATTTTTATCCAAATTATTAATTAGATTCCTTTTAGATTACTTATCCCTTCTGGATTCTTTAGTAGCACTTAAAGTATAGATAATCTTAATTCAGACCAACAGAAAATATCTGGCAGTGACATTCCAGGCAAGACAAAAGATCTTGTGGGGAAGGTTTCACAGTGTATCTGGCTAAAAGCAACACGTGGAAATACAGGAGGATGTTAGGAATAAGCGTGAGATGCTTTCATAGCAAGATGGCTGCTGTTCTTCAAGGCAATTCAGTGGAGAACTTTATAGAGTACCCCAGAATTACTGCAACTAGCATAAACACAGATTAGTTAAAGGAGGGTGAAACACTATCTGAAGAAAAGGCAAATAATTGTAAGACTATTCAGGAGGCAAGCAGTTATGAGAGGACTCTGGTGTGGTTACCTGCAATGGGAGGAATTGAACTCAATGAATTTGAAGTCCTCATCAGTATTTTGGTTTGTGTCAATAAGCCAGAAGAACGCTCATCCCTTCTTAATGTGGATCTCAAAATAATTTTTCAATGGCTCTGTTACTGTGGTTATCACAAGGATTTCTCCTTGAGGCTCTCTTGAGATCTCCACACAACCTCCAGTATGAAGAGAACTGTGGCCCATTTTCAGTTGATAGGGGTGCAGTTAAAAACCAAAACCAACGTTGTGTGTGATTTATCTCAGTGAGTTTAGTAATCACAACCATGAATTAACTTCTTCCAGGTGATACTCTTTAGTAATTCTAGATATTTATGGACTTAATTATGTCTTCACTACCTTGTCTTCACTGTGGAGGCAGCCAAGATCAAATGAGCGTGTGCAGCATAAGCCTATGAGTATTTCATAAATGGAATAATATAGAATGGGCTTGTAAGACTAAAATTCTGATGGATGTTCAACCTGTCAGGTAAGATGTGAGAGTTCCTTAGCGTTCATTTTTGTATGGGTGGATTTTTGTTATTTATTCTGTTTAAAATATAGCTGCTCCTGGAGGGGTAAGAAAACTAAAGTTATTAAGTAAATACTTAAAAAATTAAAAAAAAAAAAAAAAGCCACTCAGAACCCAAAAGGCATAGTTTCTCTTTTATGAAGCAAAAGATTTTTCTTTTTTCATTCAAATAATTTTTAAGTGTTTGAAAGACCCAACAATATATTTTACATGGTGCAAATTATAATAGGTATTTTTTTGTCAAGTAAGGAAAACAAAGTTATTTCCTTAAGGAAAATGCAACATATCAACATATTGATAAATATTTAGTACATTGCTATTGTTAAGGCTTTACACAGAAATTTGCATCTTTTGTTCTTCCTGTATGATGATTGGTAATCCCATTTTTTTCAAGTTAGAAAATACTGATACTAAGATACTAATTAGTGTGCTAATGTTATGCACGCTACCAAATTGATTTGTTTTAATTATCAGAAAATAAATTTAATTTCTTTAATTAAATTAAAACTTCATAATTTTAACATTTTTATGTCAGCCCTTATTGTCTTACAAGACCACTGCTTGCTTACCATTGCTGGAAACCATTTATATGTACTAAGAAATGAAGCATTCACTTTAATTTGGTACTTTTTTTGTTATCTAGAAAGATGTTATAGAAATGTCTAATCAAATTAGAGCATTAGACTATTCTCTATTTTGTAAATATTTTATTATTGAGAAATGTTTTCTAATGGTTTGTGTCAAAGTCTGAGGGAAACAGCTGACCTTTCAAATGCATGACGTAATTATTAATTTTCTACCTTAGAATGAATTCATACATTAAAAAAAATAAAAACCCAGCGCAAGTTGTGCATGTACAAAATTACTCACAAGAGGAAGATCATGTAGTGAGGGAACAGAACTACGTATTTCCAGTTACCATTCCATCCAGAAGTTTATAGAATATAGGAACTCATCCTCTGGCATTGTTTTTCGTATGTTATGAGAGAAGGAAAAGTGCAGCCTCTTCAGCCACCCTCAGAAGAATAGTTGATAAATTCTGTCATTTGTCTGCTTCATGCTGCTCAATTCTAAGAACGGTTGTGCTGGTCCATCCCGGAGTCCATCCAGCCCCTGTATTCTTCCTGAAACACTGGCTGTAGGAGTCTTGAAGGAAAAATTCAGTGGAGCAAATCTAGTGGATACTTTGACCTTAACCCTCTATCAGTCTTCTGGCCTTTTCAATCCAAGGATTTTTCTTAGCCTGGTTGGGTTTGTCTACTTAGTGTAACCCTCAATAGATCTATCTTCCAAGTCTTTCCTATTTGTTCTTGGATATAAATAAGTAAGCTTTATGCATTCAAATGTCTTTTGACAAGGAGTACATTGGTAGAGAAGCACTTTCTTGTTTGCTGTTGAATCCGACTTCTGCAAGCTTCATTTGGTGGCCTATAGCTTTTTTTTTTTTTTTTTTTCTTTTTTTTAGAAGACATCAAAACAATTGGTATGCTGTCTCCATTCTGCTTGTGGCTTTTCCTACATAGTTTCTGTACCTTAGATGTTAATATATGTATTTCTGGTATTAGATGTTAATATATGTTGGGTGTTTGGTTGTTGTGGGTTTTTTTAAGGATAGTGCTTATCCTTTCCTCTTTCCAAATCAGTCCTATGAGATCTAAATTTGACACAGAAAAAGAGGCATCTCAGTTCCTGCCTATATTTTGATAAAAATAAGTTGGAGTAATTGATAATTTCTTTTGAATATACAGAAATCAGTCCTTCAAAGCTAGGATAGACTTTCATATTCAGATACTTCGCTTTTGTAAAACCCCTCCCTTTATTGAGGATAACATGTACAATTCTATTCCAATTATATATTGCTTAGGTTTTTTCAGAATCTTTATTTCAAATAATTGCTCTCATGCCATTGTACTATAGTATCATACTGTCCTTTTGTTATTTTTCTTACGTTACCAGCTTTAGGAACTGATCTACTTAAGCACTTATGAACAATTAAATCCATCCATATTCTGATATCTTATTCAATATTTCATTTTATCCAGATTTTTTGTAAAGTCAGTGTGTGATCCTTGCACAGTGCAAGAAGAATGGCTAATCTGTTGTCTAAAAATAGACCTCAGATCTTACTCAACTACTTTTTTTTTCCTCTTTTATTGTAAGTCATATTTTCTGTTTATGAAGTATTACCATGAGTTGTTTTTAATGAGTATCCAGTGGGACCCTCAGACTTGGATATTTTTATCCTCTGGGCAGCATAAATCCAGATCCTCATATGAGAGTAATGTCTAAAAATTGCCTTTGTCATGTTTCCTTCTGTAGCCAACTTTTCTGCTTTTAAAGAACTGAAGAGTTCAAGATAAAAAGAAAGCTTGCTTTCTTTTCTGTATATTTAGGTATGAATTAAAACTAAAGCTAAGGTGATTCTTGTTCTGTTTGGTCGTTTGTTGTGTCTGTGTGTTTGGGTTTTTTTTGTGTGTGTGTGGTGTGTTGTGGTGGCGTGTGTTTTTGTTTGTTTGGGTTTTTTTTGTTTGGATTTTTGTTTGTTTGTTTGTTTTTAACCTGCTTTGTGATTTTGAACTACTAGCTATACTTCCATGAAGTTAATTTCATGATTTTCCTGGAAGGAGGCTTGCAGACTTCCTTCTGCTATGTTAAGGATTCCTTCTTATGTATGAAAATTTCCCTATCTTACCTCCTGGCTGTCCTTTAAATCCATACAATTCCTTTTAGTCTCATAGGAGACGTGCAGAAGAACACTAAACAAAAACTTATTCTGTAACTTCTGGGATTTCATTTTATTAACAGAAATATACCATGAGCTGATTGGGAACTTGGGTCTATACATAATTGGACATTCATATGAGGAAAGATGTAATTTAATTCCTGATAGTACTTAAGAAATGCTAGATTAACAGTTGGATTTGATGATCTTAAAGGTCTCTTCCAAGCAGAACAATTCTATGATTCTATGAATTGCTTGGGGAAAACAAGGATGACTTGGCCATCTAACATGTATGTGTTTATTTGATATTCATTCTTAAGAAATAGGCACAGGATGCATGTGCTAGCCTGACCACTGAACTTTTGGCTAAAAAGAAAGTTAGTTTGGCCTTTTTGTAATAGTTTATGTGATGAAAGTAAAAAAATTTTTTTGTGAAAAAAAAAAAAAAAAAAAAAAAAAAAAAAAAAAAAAAAAAAAAAAAGACTTAAAGTAGTGTGGCTGAAACACTGGAGAAAGTGTTATTTACTGCTGACAAAGACCACCTGCTCTGGGGCTTATTTTGGATACGTGATGCTTTCTATCAAGAATGGATTAATGGATTTTGGAACTATCTTACTCTCAGTGTTAACATGTGCTTTGCTCCTGTCCCTGCAGTCTAAGCTTTGGATGGCCAAGACTGCTTACTAAAGAAACTTAGCTAAATTTTTTAAATGATGCACTCAAGCTCTGCATATTCTCTTGTGTCTGGAATCTAATATGTGTCAAAAAAGTGTAGTGTGG